AAATTTTGTGGTAGACATTTTTTTCACTACTAGCGTAGCCTCTGATGACATTATTATTAACTTTTTTCCACTTCCACGTTCTCGGCAGTTGTTCAAAGTGGTTAATAATGTGGTCATTATTAACTAGTAATCAATAATAACTAGTTCACCCCTCCTCCTTCCCCTCTCCCCGTACTTTGATGAGGACAGAAAGAAGGGCAATAGTTGGTAGAAAACGGTTCCTTTCGTTGAGACCTTTAATTAGAATACAATGAGAGATACAATTAATTTTTAACCCCTCCCCCCCCCTCCTCAGGCCCTGTTGCTCACTGATCTTGAAAAACAGTCGCACGGGAAAGTTATAGTTTGTGCAAGCCAATTTATTTCGATGAGACCTTTCATTAGAATACCATGAAGGGTAGAACCCCCCCTTCAAAAGTGTAACTTGGCACCACTAAAGGCATGTCTATTCCAAGTCTGACACCGAATGGTTGTCGTATGTGAAAGTTAAGCACGTTTTACTTTCAACAACAGCATCTCAGGAAATAATTCATGCCCCCCCATGGCAGCGAAATTTGATGGTCGTCTGGCACACCTTGAAGGTATAGGCTACCTACTGCAAAAAAATCCAGGCCTCTAGCACCATTCCCCTAGAAGTAGTTCAAAACGGTAGAAGTAGGTTCGGACAGACAGAGCACAGACGGACGGACGGGCGAACAAAACGCAAACAATAGCACATTTTTTTTAATTCTTAAAAAATGCGCTAAAAATAAATAAGTTATGATTAAAAACGAACCACAATTTTTTTAGAGAAATTCTGAAAGCAGAAATCGTAGCACACTGAACAACTGTCGTCAATAGTTTTTTTATTAAACCACAATAAGGGTTGATTTTTAAGGGTTAAAATATTCCGAAATAATGTTCCAAAGCCTCTAACAATCATTACTCAACTCATCTGAACCAAATTTTACCCACATTAAGTTTTAATATGTAGTTTTATGGGTTTTGGCAAAGAGGGGTAGTTTTCACCCCTAAAAAATGAAGAGCGCCCATCGGCATAATATGGAGTTTGAAGTAGAGGGTAAGTTGAACTTAATCCCAAATTTTAATGCAAATCTATGCATTTTGAAAAAATGGTCAGGTTTTATACTATTTTAAGTTTCGTTTCCTGGACTAATAAAGCAGTTTTTTATTCTTGAATTGCCTTTATCAATAATTCAATATAATAATATGATCCATTTTAAAGACACAAAACAATATTTGACAACAACACATTTTTAAATCGCTTGAAAAATACGTTAGAATGGACATCTCTACTCGATTACATCACAACGCGGTCTGCGCGGAGCAAGTAACAAGTACAAATTGTGCACAACCCTTGTGCAGGTAAAGCGCATTTTTTAAACACCCCTACGAAATTTCTTCCATAAATAAGAAAGAAATTTATCCATCGGAAAACCTTTAAGCGAGCCTTTGAGTGTATGCTTTCCAAGTAACCATATTTAAAGATGAATAATATTTTGACGCATGTCTGGCCATGTGATTTCATGGGAATCGTGCTATTGTTTGCGTTTGCGACAGACAGACAGCAATACAAAATTATAAACGAACACTAGAAAGAAGGTAATAGACACTTTGCAATACAACCAATGGTTTCTAAGATACTTAACGAACAACAATTTCAGTAAAATAGCACATTCTCTATTTTCACTCAAAAATCTCAGACAATTATTTTTAAATTCAAAACATAAAAATTCGTTAAGCCGCTTGTGAGCAAGAGGCGAAGGGTGCACTTTCAAACTTGTTTTTTGATTTTGATAGTCCTTATGGACATTTCACGCCTGAACGAGAATATACAAACATGAAATAATTTTTAATTTCCGATCGTAGTTCCGGAGCCTTTGTGACTCAAGACAGACATCAAGAGCGAAAAAGTGCACTAAAAAATAATGCCCTTGAGTCTTGACTTTAAATGTTTATAGGCATATTTTGAAATATACTATTATAAATTATAAAAATCTTTAATCATTTAGATTTTAGACCGTTAACTTACATGAAATGTTTTAGGCCAGCGATTGTCAACCTGGGGGTCACGCGTAGATTTTTGAGGGTCGCGGTAGGTACAGGAGATAATTTCGATTTCAATTCCGAATTCAACAGAATGCAAAGTGCATAAGAAAGTTGAGACGGAAACGTCGTTTAGTAGTAATTAAAAATTACATAGTCAGCTACAACCGTGGGGTCTTCCGCTCCGAGACGCCTGGTAGTGATACCACACGAACTCGCCTGTTGTCTCGAGAACATCGCTTCAATTTGTGTGATGTGGTTAATTTATTTAGTTTCAAAATGAGCAAGCCATCAAATCTGTTTGGATTTTTAACGACATCTGGAAGTGCTAAAGACAATAACAACATAAATCGCTCAATGTCAACATTTAGTTTTTTTGTTAATTATTAAATTTTTGTTAAATTGTCTACAGCAGAAGGAATCAAACATTACTAACTCGACATCCAGTAATAACCCAGGCGTTAGTGTTGAGGGCAATACAAATTGTTTCATTACAATCAATGTTAATGTTTGAAATAAAGAATTACAGCCAAATTTATGTTGGGGTTTTTAATTAATTGTGTGAAGATGTCAAATTTGATGTATACAAATAACAGTCCGGTAAGTGTTGCTTAGCGACACTTACCGGCTCTGATGCTGTCTCACCTACCGGACTCAAAATGATAGTGTAATCAAACATCTACCCATTGAGTTAGAAAACTAATGGAGGGAATCAAATGCTTGGCAAGACGTAGACCACGGGAACCAAAAGTGGCCTCTAACTGTGATTAAAGTACCACACCACTTCCGTTATCATTAGCGTCTCACTTCAGTGGCGTAGAGATATAATTTTCTTTCCACTAATAGGAATAATAACAAAAAAAACGTATAGAAGGAGTAAAATACATGATCGTGGTAAAGTAAACAAAATAGACAAGGATGGGAAAGTATGCAGATTTAATATAATCATTGATTACAAATCTAAATATACATCGATGTGTTCCATTAGTATAATTAAGGCCAGTTTACTATAGCCACTACAACTTGACAACTCCCATTAAATTCACTGTGTTGATCAATAGCTACAATTGATTGGTTGGTCTCAGGTTCATTACAAGTTTTGATAGTACCTACTGCATATTTCCATATTTGACGAGATATTTGATGAACATTTTCTGGTGCAACCTTTGGTCGAAATCACAGTCAATGAAGCGTTGTGAGCACAAAAGTAAATTTCGAGAGCTGTTCTTGAGATATATTTACAAATGTAATATTACTATTTTGCTCGAAGTACCGGTTCGTTTGGAAAACTAAGAAACATAAACTAGGTACCTACAACCTCGCCTACAACATGATAAATGACATGTCTTACCGATGAAAGGAAATGCCCTGTTTCTTCCCTTTATGAGAAATTTTTCATGATACGCAGCTAATCATTCTCAATTCACAAAATTGCGTGATAAAAACACTATGAGGCAGTTAGTTATTTATATAAACCAGAGCACAAACCGATCCGAAATTATTAGGTACTTTAAAATGGCAAATTTAATAAAATTTGAATTTGGTGGAAAACTGACAGTGACAGGACCCGCGTTTTCATATGTCAAATAATGTCGGCCAAAATGTACCTTCACGGGAACCTATCCACGCGAGTGGCCTCTATCTGTGGCAACTTCCGTCTACAAAAATGCTTACCCCCTCTACCATTATATTCCCTCAATTAGTTTTCTAACTCAATGCATCTACCGGACAGTATGAAATAAAAGTTTTTTTGTGTCTCCCTGCTTCAAAGCTTTGTTTTCTGTAGCCAAATTAGTCCAGAAAGTTATGATTTGCTGTCCTAGGCCGGCAAAAATATCACTAAAAATTGGTTGGTGGTACTGATTTAATTTGCAATGACAGTTCTAAATTTAAATTAAATTGTTAGAATGATAGGCATATTTTTTGTGCAAATTCCATTTTAAGCACTTTATGGCTTGGTAACATAGTAATACGTACCTATATGTAAATGCGGTAGGTAAGTACCCTAATCAAGAATTGTAAGTTTCACTTACAAGTTTTCGTTTAGTGCGGTTATGACACTTGTACATGTTTACCGATGGTAAACTTACGGTTTATGACAAAAAACAGAGAGCTAATTGAAAATATAGGAAATTGAAGTTTACCTACTTCCACACTCGATGCCAGGAATGCCAACAAATGGTTTCGCATGTAAATTAACGCAGTCAAAAAACACAACACTAAACGGATGAAGAGTAACGACACTATATGATTTGTAATTATTATTATTTCTGCCATTGTTAACATTAAACTGTATACATTATTCCATAAATTATATATCTACAAGCAAGTATATTTCTCTGAAGATGACAGTTTCCGAAAAGGAGGTGTACGCATATGAAAACGATTTCTTGTCGATATCTATGCTCATATCTATGATGAAAATTTCCGACATCAGTTACTTCCGTGTAGTAAGACCATAATAATCAAACGACACTGCATACACCAAATTGTAGATTTGCACGAAGCAATCATCGGCCCTCTTGCTGCTCTCCTCGTAATCGACAGCCAACGAGAAGTAGATATCCAAACAAACTTGTTATCATTCTTATATGTAATGCAATTAATATGATAAATCAATTTGCAAATGAAAACATTGCAACCCAATTCCCAAAATAGGTGTAAGCCCTAAGCACTAGCTGAAATTGAAATAAATTTCAAGGTTATGTTTCCCATTGAAATCAACTTACTACTTATTAGTTTTAGCGCAGCTTCTTTTAAATGTTATGAACTTCTTAAGACTGCGCTAAGCGTTTTAGAAATTTGTAATAATAATTAAATTAACGTAAATGCTTTGTTTATTCATTTAATCACAATTAATGAATAAACACTGGTAAATATCGACGCTATATTAGTGTGACGTCAGAGCGCCATCTTGTTGCGGTAGGTTAGTTGTCTTTATCCAAACAAACTTTTATACCATGTAAATTCCCATAAGAGTTTTTAGAAAATTTAATTTTGCATCAATTAGGGTATTGATATATTGAGATTTCACGCTATTAGTTACAGTTTTTTGTGTACAACATCATTCATGTGCAAAACCGTTCATTTTTGTAAGTTTAGAATAGAAATATAGCAAATTGGTAAAACTAACCTCAATATTCTTATTGTAGAATTTATTATATACATTATTGATGGCGGAGAAATACGTTATTTCTATTACGATGGTGGCTGCATTCTTTAAAGAAAACATGAAGCAGCTTCACCGTGGTGAAAATTCGTACAAAAGTTGCAACGTACTTACGATGAATTTCGATGCAACTGTTGATCCTGCCGTCTTGAAGGGGAAAGTGAAAGCAAGTATGAAAGGGCTGACATACTCTGTTGAGGTGTGTTTCATTCTATGTAGTACCTAATACATCTTGTATATATTTATTATCCATAGGTATCGATTAACTTGCAAGATAATTACATTGAAAATGCCACGTGTAGCTGCCCTCGAGGACAAGCAGTGTGTCATCACATGGCAGCCCTGTGCATACATGCACATAACAATGTGAGCATCACGGACAAAGAGTGTGCATGGAATAAGAAAAAAGGAGGCGGTGAAGAAAATGTGAAAACATTAAAAGAACTTTACCCTTCGAAGCACGGGGTGTATGAACCAATTAATGGTGAAGTATCTGACGATGTGGTTCAAATGTTTCATAGAAGTTTAGGGCATGGTAATGCAGTTGGCTTTTCATGGTTGTTGCAACCGCATGTTTGCCACAGCGCAATGGAGTTTCTTCCCATTATAGATGAATTAGTTTTCAACAAGGAGTATTTGGAAACGTCTAACAAAAGATATTATATTGAAGAAAGGTGTCAATTAACACCAGAACAAATTACTTGCGTGGTAAAAAATACGGTAGGCCAAGCCAATAATGCAAATTGGTTAATGGCACGAAAAAATCGTATCACTGCAAGCAATTTTGGTGTGATACTAGCGGCAATTCACCGTAATCGCTTTCCACCATCCCTTTTTAAAAGATTGATGGATGGCTATGACCTCACGTCAGTACGAGCAGTCCAGTGGGGCAAGGAAAATGAAAAGTCTGCTATAGATACATTCACGTCTGCTTTTACTGAAATGAATGTTACACCTACAGGGCTGTGGTTAGACAAGTGTGGCTTTTTAGGAGCCTCGCCTGATGGGCTAGTTGGAGACAACTCTATATTGGAGGTGAAATGCCCATACAAGTACCGCAACACCAGTTTGCAACAAGCCCTGCGAAACGATAAAACATACATTATTTTTAAGGAAGGAGAAGAGTCGATGATAAATGTTGAACATGAATATTACCATCAGGTACAGGGCCAACTGCATTTGTCAAATAGGGATGCATGTTATTTAATTATTTGGACTCCCAATGAATGTGAAGTGGCTTATATTGAAAAAGACCCAAATTGGGGTGACAATCTTATTTTATTAAAAAGTTTCTATTTAGAAAAGTTTATACCTTATCTGTCAGGTATGGAAAGATAAGATATTAATGTGTAAATATAGTTAAGTTTTAGGTTTATTTTTATATTTTTAAGTTAGCTAATTAAGAATAGGCTAATGGCCTAGAATAAAAATATTTGTAGTGTTTTTTTTATTAATATAGTATATGTAAATATCTGCTGCAATATGGAAATCATCTATTATACTTCTAAAATAAAATCCGAAGTTTTTCTCCAAAAGATTTATTACAAAATACAATACAAAATATAAAATCTGTCTAACCCTTTCCTGGTTAGAATCAAGACTTAACTTAAAATTGAAGACACACTTTTCATCCTTCCATCCAGACGAGTTTTATGACAATAAATAATCCCTTGTCAGTCATTCTAATTAAATATTACCAAATAAGCAAACGAAAAATACAATATATACATACAAATTAAATTAATACAATAATAGTACTCGGTTCGTAGTGTTTGGCCAAAACGCTTGATACTGCCTATCTCGAACGATTCCTAATAGTTGCGCGTAGTTAATAATATAGTTCACCTGTGAGTACAGGGTGTACCGTAACAACTGCTATTTATTACCTTATACTAACTATTAATTCTATGAGGACCTAGACCAGTAATACATAATTAATTCTACCCTAAACTGTACACCTTATTACCTACTTACTAATATTAAAAATAAAATGAAATTTTAATCATCAGCCACTAAGAAATATTGCTCCACTTCTCTAATTAAGGGATATTGTAAGTTTGTTAAGGCTCCAACTGTTTGGAAAACCTCCTCTGCATAGGGAATCAATTTAGAAGGAATAAAAGACAAAATCCGATACACTTTCATGCGGCGGATGGCACGTTCTACATGAATGCGTGCACGTGCAATACATTCTGTCTGCCTAATTTGTTCCGGTGAAAATTGTGCTGTACTTAAAAAAGGTGGGATGTTTAGTGCCACTCCAGGTGGTAATAAATCTCGAATAAGAAACCCTTTATCGGCCAAAATCAAATCACCCGGTACCATTTGATCGAGGATTCCGCTGTGCTGGACTATTTTTTTATCAGACGTTGAACCTGGATAAAGACCGCTTATATAAGTTATAACACCATTGGGTGCAACACCTACAAAAAGATTCAATAAATATATTGATTTTCCCTCCATAGTGCATATGAATTACCTATAAGACCTTTGCAGGTATTCCTATGTTTATAGGCACTGTATGTGACTCGTTGCGTAGCCATTGAGCTCCGTGGGACAGCGGTGAAAATATCTGTGCAGTCTATAATAATTCGGCAGTTTGTAAAAGTACTGCAACAATTTGGCAAGCACGTTCTATTTTTCTCCCTAGCTGGGATGGTGTTCATTAGTTTTTTAAACAATATCTGATGAAGAACATGAATCCATGTAATTACAATATTTGATACAGTAGCCTGTGAAATACCAAATCGATAGGCTAGGTCTAAATGCGGAGCATTTTGTCGCAACTTCATAAGGGTAAGGAGCAACTGATCCTTGCGATTCAATTTTTCCACATTCCAATGGAAATAATAATTTATTTTCAAATTGCTAACTAAGTTATACACACTTTCAAAAATTTCTTTGCTGGGTAATCCAGTGTATAACAATACCAGTGTATTGTGGTCTGCAATGCTGTCAAAACTCATGCGGTTGGAGAAATACTGTAGTTGTCTCTTTTGCGCATTAATTTCTTGTAATAAGAAATAATTTTCTGCATCCACCACAGCAGAATCACTTGACACAAAGACTTCTTGGGATGTGCTTGGTTGTGACTCGTCCAATATGGAGGCTTGCCATGAGGTGCTTGGCTGTAGCTCATCCAATGCCGGAACTTGTCTGGATGCGGTTAGTTCATGGGATGTGCTTGGTTGGGGATCGCCCCATGCGGAGGCTTGCAGTGATTTGCTTGGCTGTAGCTCACTTGATGCAGGAACAGGTTCAGACGTTTCATTATCTTGTACTTTTGACCTATAACATTATGTAAATATACATAACTTTGATTAAACACACTTCAACTTACTCTATGTCTCTTGAATCCGTACATCTACATTTCTTTTCTGGAGATGAGAACGCAAATCGTTTCTCACGATTATATTCAAATAATTTTGGGCCATTTTCTTTCCGGCCATCTGGAAAATGGCAACTGCATAAAAAGGCACCACTACCTGGTTCGATACTGCGCCTATAATATTTGTGATTTTAGACAGTTTAAAACAACATACTGCAAAAAGACGTACCTAACAAGTTGTTTCCATTTGGCCCTTAAACGAGGTTCTGTGGGAAACTTAAAAAATCTGCAGGTTTCTCGTTGATTGTAATGGTTACAACCCGGAGCCCAACATAAAACCATTATCACCCTCTTGTTAATTAATACTTTCCAAAATCCGAAAGTGTTAATATTTTAAAAACACGATCGTAAAATAGGTACAACTAAGTTTTTGTACTAATCACCGCGAAAATTTTGAGGTTAATTTGAATAAACACAATATTCAATGTTTTTAACACTGGAGGGAATGAAATGAAATTTTTAACATAATGTTTAAGGTACTCTCTTCAAGTTTCAACACTTTGTAACTGTTAAAAACACGACAATATTTATAAAATCAGTTCAATAATGTTCACTCATAAGACAAAGCATGCAGATCAAACGTGTTTGGATAATTGGACATGACCTTCCATAACAAAAATGGCGTGTGACGTCATCACTAATATAGCGTATTGACCATATATATAAGAGAATATATATATTGACATGCTTGTGCTACCAACTGCCAACTGTCTGTGCTACCAACATAACATCGAAATATTGGAAATTTGAATGCAAGTATGACGGCTTATAATTATAGGAGGTAGAAATATAAATTTTAAAATGAACGTTGTTCCCTCAAATTTTTTACTTCGACACAAAAAATCTTGTGTATTACACGTCCATAAAAATGTTTTGCGAGTATTCGTATTGCAGGCCTCAGCTCCGCTTCGGCCTGCAACCTTACTCACACTCGCAAACATCCATTTTCTGGACTTGTGATAGGTACAAATAACTATTCCGTGCGCTAGCCTGGAAAAGGCCAGATACAATTATTTCTAATACAGGTGTAAATAAGGTGATTTCAATGAAGTATAATAAAAAGCATTTTTCAGTAGCTTTCCAACGATGTGTCACAAGTATGGGGTTGCCATTTAGGATTTTTGAAGAGGCGGACTGGGGAGCTAAAGGGGGGTCACTCATAACGACATTCTGGTTCACCCTTGATACCCCCGAAACGATATTACGTGATTTTCAATATCTTCTTTAGTTTGGAAAATATGACCGACTGCATAGTTTTAAAATTGACACCCCGTATTATAAGGGCATTGCCGAGGGAATTGCATAACTGTTGTATGCATTCAACTCGCTAACAATAAATAAAAAATACTTAGTTTAGCGTGTTTCATTTAGTACTAGAGGGTCGCGGTCATCAGATCCAGAAAAATAGGGGGTCGCGATTACAAAAAGGTTGAGAATCGCTGTTTTAAGCAATTATTGGAAATTAACTATACCTAATGAGTAGGTACTCGCTAACTGTTAATATAATAGTGTGCTGAAAGGTAAGATAAAAAATTCATTATTCAACTTAGTCCAATTAGGACAACCTTAGCTGTCGGTTATATTTACAGTGTAAGATAAACTTTAAGCAAATAGTGTTAAGAATTCCTGATTGTTTGTGTTTTATTAAACGAATGGAAGGGGAGCATTACACCTACATTGTACGGTATGATTAAATTAGGTACATTAATTGCAGATAAGCGGCTGTAGTGTATTATTAACAAAAGGTTTATACCGACTTGCCTATAGTTTTGGGAATATCTTTAGAGCTCGGTGTGCCTATTTGTGAACAATTTTCGTAAGTTTACGTGATCAAATTATAGACTACACCCAATCTTCGTCTGTCAATTAAAACATACAATTAAGAAACTTCTTAATCACTATATAACCAATTAATTTTAATTATCTGAAAGCGAAACGTAATAGCAATTCTGAAATAGTACGTTCTCAATTTTGCCTAGTGCAATAAGTACCAGTCTTTACCTAGTTTATTTAATAAACTTTATTAAATGGAGTATTTCTACCAAATGCCTGGCGATTTGCCTTACAGTTTATACAAATATGAGTGGGTCAACCTGGATATGATACTGGAAGACCCTTTTGTACAGCTGTTGGTAATATGCACTATTCGTACTGTCACGATTCAGTATTTGTAATTAGGTTTTTTTGTTTCAGCCACCAGAAAACGAATTGCAAAAAGGCGAACGTGTGATGTCCGAACACCAACTACGAATCCAACGCTCGCTACAAAAGCTTACTATCCCCGATTGGTATAAGCAATACCAAGTTCCCCGAGAGAACTTCATATTAAAGAAGACTGTCAATCGTGAACGATGGCCAGGGACATCGAGCAAAACACCTTCACTAAGTAGTTTGGGTTCAAGCAACCACTCTCCTCTGTTACTCAGTCCGACTCCCAATACACAACCGTTTGTCCGGTGGTCTACTTCTAAATTAAATTCGACAGCTTCATCGCCTTGTGCCTCGACGCGAAGTAGTTTTAATACTCGTCAACCAAACGGTTCCATATCACCCTCTTCCATCAGAAGTAGTTTTAATTATCGACAACCATACTTGGGTTGGCGGTCGCAGGAGCGCCTTGCTAAACCTAGAACACCTGCTGAACGGCTGGCAAGTTCGCTTCTTGTTCAAAATCAAAACCCGGCAGTCATTCAACCCGAAAGTCCCGAAATACAAACGTCTATTAAAGAAGTGACTTCGGCGATCGTTCATTACGTTAGCGGATTAAAACCTGAGCTATCCGCGAGTTCGGAGAATACGAAATCGAGAAGTAACTCTGTTAGTCCTCGAGGTAGCCAGAAACTTTGCTGGTTGGAGAGCTCGTTTGTAGGTTCGCGCCCTTTAGATGCCCCCGAAACGCCGGTAACCTTGGCCGAAAATCACAGTACCACTTCACCACCTTCGACTCTCAGACTCGAATTACAAAAGACGCATAACGGTGAGTCTATTCACGCTTAGTCAATGCCGTGCACCCGGTATGCTGTTCTGTAATATTAGATCTGTATTTATGTAAATATCGCTTTGTAATGTATCATAAGAGTCTAGAGCCATTTATTTATTTATTTAATACGTCTAATAATTATAAATATATCACCTCATGGTTTAACGTGATGTAAATTGTGACGGTTTTGATATAAATGTTCTATTGTGTTTCCTTTCACAAAAAACACATCTCGTATGTTTCAATTAGTAATTTGTGGAAAATATCATTTTCGATGGATTACGTTAATAAGTTAAGGTTCTAACATTTATAATTATGCGTGTTTTTCGTTGCAATAATATCTATTGTCGTTCTTGGTTCTCAGTGTATTTTTTATATTTGTAACTGTAATTTTTCATTTTGGGTACACGTTTTGCATGTGTAAGATTTTAATAAATTAAATAAATTGTTTTATTTTTGTTAACCGTTTTGTTTTTGTTTTGTTTGTAGGAATCCTTACGAAGTTAATTTTTTCTTGCAATCTTAAGTTATTTTACGCATGTGTGCACTGCTAGTAGCATATATCTAGTGATAATATTGACATGGGTGCGTTCATAAGATGCAACTGTTGTGGAACAGTTACCGATACGTCTTATAATAACTACGTCGCTACTTTTAAGCTCTTTACGGAGCAGTCGGCCATTTTTAGTAGCGCTACACATGTCAAAGTAGGGAACGTGACATAAGACTCAAACTGTTACTGATGCGCTACGGCTACGAGGTAGCGTAGCGGTAACTGTTGTGTCTTATGAACGAGCCCAATAAGTATCAAAATAAATTGCAGACATTTATTTCACATATGGACATATTCACTCCGTGTATTTAGACATGTAATGACAAACCATGGTGCCAAGTGCCAACAGTAAAGGAGTTTTTTCGTAGCAAACGAGTAACCAAAAGAATCTTTCTCTCTGGCAAAAGGCCAGGGATCACCTGATACACTGGAAGGTGGGAGGTAGGAATTCCTGCATTTCATTCAGTATATATACCTACTCCTAAAAATTGCTCTCTGTAACAATTCATATTCACGGGATAAACCGTCTCGGTCTTCCTTTTGGAGTACTGTTCTCTTCATTTTGATGTTCCCCATTCGTTTGATGTCTTAATTAAGTAAAATAGTAAAGGCGCAAAAGTGTTTGTAGAGAGTGGATGGATAGTTAAACATTAAAATTAATTAATTGGTAGACAATTTTTCACTCGACGCTTTTAGGTATACAGTAATATTTATTCAGAAGTAGAATATGGATTTACATGTATTGTTTTTCCCTATGTCTACTTTAAAAGCAAAATCACTTCTGAAGGGCGCCTAATTTTATGCAACTAAAATTACTTCTAAACAAATAAAGATCTGGTTGTTGGCGACATTTGAATATTGTTGCTTTGGCTTCCGTATTTTTATTTTCGTTCGTGTATTCAACTCGACAAAAGTTGATATTGTCAATTGGTAGAGTGCCGGTAACAGTTTAAGGAGCGTAAGCGATCTATTTTCTGTGAATCCAAAGCAATAATTCAAATTAATTATTATGCCAGCCATTTATTTGTTTTAAGAAGTTATTTTGGTTGTAAAAAATTAGGCGCTCTTCAAAAGAGATTTTGTCCTTTAAAAGTAGACATATAGAAAAACAAAACACGTAAATAAATCCCTAAATATAATATACTTCTAAATAAATATCACTGTGTATTTATGAATTTCTTTTATTGATCTGCAAATTTACAATCTACTTATTGAACAAGTAATTATAGTAAATGTTATATGGTTTTTTGCAGGTCATGTAGGGTGCCATGGCCATTGCCACTTTCCCCATATGTATTTTTCTACTACGAATTGTTATAGTAAATCATGTGGCCATAGTCGCTTCAGTCTTCTATCGACACCTAGGACCCTGGTTGCTTGATCAGCTGTCCTATTAGGAACTTAACAAGATATGATCACGCGCACGATCTCTTTGTCTCCGTTCCTCCGCTGACGTCAGCGCGTGACAAACTTTTGGCGCGACTATTAGTATAGTGCCTGAATGCCCGCATTTCGTTTTGTTTCCTTTAGTTTAATTCGTGAAATTTTGTGATTGTGTTACTGTACGGTTTATTTTAAGTACGAGTACATTCTACAATCATGGTGTACTGTGCAGTTGTAGATACCAATAATTAACAATAATAGAAACTCTGTCGAGCTGCTGGTATTTTAGCTTTCCAAATAATAAGGAAATTTGTCTGCGTCGGAAAAATTCCCGACTGCGTACCAGGAGCGAATTTAACACAACTAGCATAATTATCTGGAATTTATTAATCAGAAGGGCATTTCGATATGAGTATTTACCGAATAATCGCTGCAACGTAAATTTAAATTATCAATAATGATTGGTTTAATTTTAAAAAATAACGTATTTTCATATAGACCAAATTTTTAGGAGAATACTAGATAGTACCTATTTACTATCTTCTAGCATGCGAATAGTATTTTACATTATTAGCCAGGTAGGTGAGTTTTTACTGGCGATAGAGGTTACCTGGCGTATAATGTACAATATTTTTTTCACTACTAGCGTCTGATGACATGATTATTAACCTTTTTTCCACTTGTAAAGTAGGCTTTCTCGGCATTTGTTCAAAGTGGTTAATAATGTGGACATTATTAACTAGTAGTCAATAATGAGAACTGTCACGCTGTCACTTTTAGAAAACACAACCCGAAATTAATTGCCACCATCCGCCATTTCCAGAGAAATTACATACCTAAAATTATCACATTTTGAAAAAATTCGAACGAAATTACTCTTTGAAAATATCTCAATGACAGAACAAAATACGTCCTGTCTGATTTGTACTTCTACGTACTTGATTGACATGTTAAATTAAGAAACAACAAATTCTGTCCAACCGTTCACTTTCTTATCAATATAATATGTTAATTTAGAGGACTTCAAGAACTAGTAGTGAAAAAAATAGTATATATACCACGGTAGAGAAGTCTATTATTGCCTTCGCACCTTACACCCCTCGGCGCAAGCGCCTCGAGATGTAATCTTGGTGCTCAGGCAATAATACTGTACTTCTCTACCTTGATATATAATGTACTATTATTTGTTACTCATTTATAAACAATTGGTAAACGTAAACAATCAGTTCTAATTGATCTCGAAGAAATGTCTATACCGCATTATCCATGTAACAAGGCTTACGCACTAATTGTTGTTAATGAAATTGTCATACTAACTAGTAAAATTTTTACAGGTCAGCACATCGAGAAAGTAAAAATCTTTATTTGTTACTCAGTTGTAAACGTTGATTAACAAGACAAAACGCAAACGGGTAAACGTCATGTTTAAACGCTACTGACTTGTAAAACTGACAGCAGACCTGTAAAAATGTTACAAGTTAGTAATCTAGTAATTTCATTGGCCAGAATTAATGCGAAGTCTCTGTTACATGGATAACATGATATTTTAGACATTTCTTCAAGATCAATTTAAGAACTAATTATTTACTTTTACTATTGTTTACAAATGAGTAACAAATAAAATATTGTACATTATACGCCAGGTAATAGTTTTTACTGGCTCTAGGAGATGACAGGCTCGCCTGACGGCTCGCCAGTCAACTTCTCCTATCGCCAGTAAAAACTCACTTACCTGGCTAATAATGTAAAATACTATTTCTATTGATTAACAAATAAAAACCCTTTTCTCCACATTTATTTTTATAAAAATATGTGCTCTGTATTCGTCTATCAGCTGTCTGTCTCTAGTCTAAATAGCCAATTTAGAAGGTGGTTTTTATTACTCTATGACACCGAACTTACTTACCGTCAACGGAAAATATAAATTATTATTTATTAGCAATAAAAATCCTAACGAAATTACATTTAAAACCGTGCTTTGCCTGATGCCCCCATGCAAGTTTGTCACACGGTGACGTCATGCGCGACTCTGTTCGAAATTCATTCTGCTAGTGATCATATCTATTTGGGCGTGGGAGGCCTTTGCGCATCCCCATAATTGGATCCCATCCGTCCATATGGCCATGGGTATTAATATGATTTTGTGCAGTAGTATTTTGTTCGAATGGGAAAGTTGGGATCCTCTACCAATTATCCAGTTCATCTGTTTAGCTTTAATGTCAATCTGTTCTTTTAAGCAGCAGCTTCTCAAATATTTTGGACATTAAAGGCAGGAGACTGATTGGTCTGTAAGAGGAGGATTGTGTAGGTGATTTAACTATCACCCACATAGCATTCGATATCTTATGTATATGTTAACGGCAAATAGCGAAATCCGGCATTTTGCAAAATGCCTAGGCATTTCGCGAAATGACGAATGCAACAGTCAAAGTGAGAAACGGAGCTGCAGTTCGCACTTTGCCTGCCTTTCTTTAGGGATTTCGCGAAATGCCTAAACATGCAGGCAAAGTGCGAAGGATTCGTCAATCGTCATTTCCCACATATTGCGGATACAGCGTTGCCATTGGATGGTAAACGACGCGTACGATTGCGATGTTATTTAAGTACTCGCCAAATATTGCGCTCACGTTTAGACTGCATTTCATCTATGGCTTTTCTGTTGAGGCAAACTTTGGATTTACTGTGGAGAATATATCAGATGGGGGAAGGTACTAACGCGAAGGTTTTACGTTTGGCACCGCTGTACGCGCAATCTGTGGAAAATATCCGAGCATTCTCACTTTGCCTGAATGTTTAGGCATTTTGCGAAATCCCTAAAGAGAGGCAGGAGAAGTGCAAACTCGAGTTCCATTTATCACTTTGCCTGCTGCATTGGTCATTTCGCAAAATGCCTAGAGATTTTGCAAAATGCCGGATTTCGCAGTTTGCCGGTAACATATATATAGGTATTTAAATCCATAATGTACTTTTATGTATAAATCTTATTCCTCCTCACGAGGATCTTCTATGTATATACATGGGATTATATGGTATGTATACAGGGTGGTGCCTAGCGCGACGC